TAAACCCAGAGCTCGCTGCAGCTATGCAGATGTGGGGAAGAAGAGAAACAAGCAGATTCTGCATAAACACAAGGCCCACCTCAACAAAACAAGTATGGGACAGGACAATGTTACTTCCAAAGGCTGCACAAACAGGGCATCTGAAAACAGGGCAGCCTCTCCCATCCACAGCCTGAAGTGTGTTCAAAACATTCTGAATAATCAAAACTAATCCCACAAACATGCCCTTACCCCACACAGGTGGGGTGAAGCGTGCAGCCTGCCCACGCCCTGCACGTCTCCCTCAGTCCCATCACCTCCCAAATTCCTCCTCTTCATTGCACAACCCAGGAAAAGCCAATTCAGCATCGCGCCAGCTTCTCCCCCTCCCAAGCTCCGAGCCAAAGGAGCACGGGAGGAAAGGAGATGAGCGTGAGCTGCTCCTGCAGCCAGACAAACAGCCCAGTGCCGGGCCGTGGCTGCACAGTGGTGCCTTGAGACGACAGCACTGGGGACAGCGGGGCACTCAGAGACAGGGCTGTGCCTCTCCCCGCAGCTGGACCAGCACTGCTGCTCTGCCACAGAAGATAATATTTAGGGAGCTTCTGGCCTTCCAGCAACGCTGGGGACTGGCTGACAGCTGCCACCACAGCACAGACGACAAGGCCTGACACCGTGCCGGCCCCCTGAAAGGGAGTCATTCTTCAGGCTCTCGGTTGTTTTGTCGATGCTGAGGGCACACACGGCCTCAGCCTCCGCCAGCTCACGTCCTTCCACCCACTGCCTGAGCACTCTGCAGTTCTGAGTGCTTCGGAGAGCTCGGCAGCTCCCACGCACAACAACGTGTTGCATCTCTGCTGCAGGAGGAAGAGACGCCCCGGATTCACGGCAGTGACAGCACCACAGCGGGGAAGAGGAAAAAAACCAAAAACCATCTTATTCTGGGCAACATTTGTAGCCAGTGCATACATCGAAAAGAAGTGTTTAACTACCACGGGCTGTGGTTGAGTTAATTGATTCTGTGGTTGAGGCAGTCAGAGCTGGCTTCCTGCATGAGGACAGGCGAAATTCCAAGGGAGGGATTGCGGGCTTGGAGACGCAACCAGCAATTTGTCCCCTCCAGTGGAAGGCCATTTTCTGCATCATTCTCTCCCAAAAAAGCACACACTACAGGAAGAAGAGCTGGCCAGCGCGGGCAGAGAAGGGCTGCTCCTGCTGGGTTGGCTTTCTGGTGCCTGCTACCAGCTTGGAGAAAAATCTGTCACTTGTGCTCCACACTGCATGGGGGACCACTTGAGTTTATCCAGGCAAAAGGTAAAATACCTCTGATTAGCAGAAACAAAGAGATTTAATACTGGAACTTCCAAACGGTGCCAACTGCCTGGGTGAAAAAGAGAGCAAAGGGAATGTCTGAATTCAAATCAACCCCGTTTTCCACTGGAATTGAGCCATGGAAAGGTTTTCCTTGAGAGTTTGCCTGTGCTGAGGACCTGCAGTGATAAGACTTCTGGTCATGAAACACAGAGCTGTTCTCAGCTCACTCCCCAAGCCCATCTTTCATAGCCTAAGGCATCACACCGGCCCCTTACAGGGAAGAGTGGGTTTAGGCTGTGCACTCATTAAGTGACCCTGAGCTTCCAGAAGGCAGCAGCAACACACGAAGTTTATCACAATGGCAGTTGTGGCAGGAACAGGCATCATCAAAGGCTCCTCTCCTCCCACAGAGCTGGGAGCAGGTGACAAGAAGGCAGTGGTGTGTAAACAGGTAGCACTCACACACAGCTGACAAACTGGCCAGATCCTCCCCAAGCTCAGCAACTCTCTGAGACAAAGCAAATCCCACTGTCTACTTCCAGCAAAGAAATTGCTCTTCAGCTTTCCTCTGTATAAAGTGGTGTTTGCTCTCCAAGATCTTCCAGGGGACATTAATTTATCATAAAGCTGCCAGTACCAGCCTAGCTGTCAATCACTTACATGAAGGGAAATCTCAGGATTGCACACGGACAGCCACAGCTCACACACTGCCAGGTACATGTCATGTGTGCAGTGCTCTCTGCCCTGGGCATCAATGGTCACACACCCCTGTCCATGCAGGCAGTCATGGTGTCCACACAGAGCAATCAGCCAAAGTTTTCACATTAAACTCTCATCTGAACCCAACCCTGAGACTGAGGGCACCTGCTTCTTCTCACAGAACAGCTTGGAGCCCACTGCCTTTGCACCACCATGGCAGGCTGTGGGTTCGTGCAGACAGTTAACCAGCAGCATTTTGTGAGCTCAATGCATTTTACTCATAAAGAGAGAAAGCAACAGATTTGGAAAAGCACAAGTCTTACAGTCTCAGTCTCACATCTCATCCCATTTATTCTCCTATGCATCTCCAGTCACTTCTCTGTCACTTTTTATCTTTCCAGCTTTTCCAAGCTGCTTCAGAGCTTCTGCATTTCAAGCACCTTCTGGCTTCCACTTGCATGTGGTGGTTGGAATGTTTCCCACTCAACATCCCAACATCCAGCAGCTAAAACTGCTATGTCTGCTCCAGTACAGTCCCCACATGTGCTAACTCAGCATGGCCAGCCCAGGCAATGGAGAAGCTGTGAGCTTTAATGACAAAATAAAAGCACTTCATGAATGAACCAAACTTTATCAGTTCTCCTTCCACCCTGGTGGTGAGCAGCTCCAGAAGTGATGCCTGCAGCCCAAGCCCTGAACACAGCTGTGGCTACCAGAGCAGAAGAGCAGAAAACTTCAGACTCCAGGGGTTAAAGCAAATCCTCTCACAACACTACATCCACAAAAGCAGAGGTGGTGTTGAGCATCACTGGTGTGATCCTGTTGCCTCAGAGGCAGCTCTCCATGGGCAAGCTTCCTTTAATTTGTTTTTGTTGGTCATTTCCAACAGCAGCACTTGAAGGGAACTTTATTGTGCTGGAGACAGAGGCGTTCTGGAGGACTGTACAAGGGAAGCGTGCATCTGGGGAATTTTCAAAACACATTATCCAAACCTAAGGGTCACTACATTCCAGGATACCAGTGTCAGCTGGACACCTATAAATAGCTTCACCAATCATGACCCATTGTGTATCAAAACCCCACTTCAGAGGCTTTTTCAGCATTACTTCCTTCTGCAAATACAAACAGCTGGTAAAAATAAGTGAATTTATCATCACCTTTGCTTGGCAGTGACAAGCTACTCCCACATGGACTCCATGCTCAGGAAGCTGAGGTATGGTAACATAAAATGGCAACAAGACACCTGTAAGTCCCGCAGAAGGAACAACTCAGAACACCTGAATCATGAGGTTTCCATGAGGCTGCAGGAACAACAGCTGAGATGCAAGCTAGGGGTAAAGGAAACAGCAGCTGGGACAGATGTGTGCCCCACATCAAATGGAAATGAGAGGGTGCTCTCCTACCCTCAAAATCCCTATAAACCCATCCCTGCTCACTGCACAAAGCAAGCAGGTTTCTTCCTAATGGAGTTGGGCACTCAAGCCATGCTGGAGCCCAGCCATTTCCCTCTGGTGCCCAAATGAGAGCCAAACACCTCCAGGAGGACTTTTTTTTTCTCCCTTTCTTTTTTTTTAATCAAAATGACAGAGTATTGATGTAAGTACACCAAAAAAAAAAAAAAAGCAGCAAATTAATTTTTCTCCAGAACTAGGCAATATTTTAGATTCCTGTAACACCTATGAAAACCTGCACAGGCAACAGCAGGCACACCAAATTAACATTAAAAGTATTTTTATATGATACAAATGCGGAAAGAATTGCAGTGAGAGAGTCTTGGGTGTTTTCATTCTCTGTCACTGTCATTACCTTAATCTACTCCTCCCAGAGCCTAGAAACATTAGCTTTCTTAAATAAGAGCCTCAATTCAATTTTCCTTTATGCAGGTTTTAAGTAAGTTACAGTCTTGAAAAGTCATTCCTGAGCTGGAAACTTTTGGGCCAGGATTCAAAGAAATGAAGCAGGGTTTGAGATCCTTGGCAAAAAGTAGCTTACAGAGAAAACAGTAGCAGGGACTTGTCTGTGCTCAAAGGGCATGCCTATAACTCAGACAGCCACCACTGCTGTTCCCATTTATTCAGTAATATCACACCAGACTATTGTGACTTTGGAGAGCTATGCTATTTAATGCGGTAAAAATGTTTTTAGCTCTGAGAGAGTACAAGACACGACACCAAGCTACTTAACGAGAACAGCCCATCCAACAACAACAAAAAATTCAAGCTGTAGACAAAGAACAGTTTTGGGCCGACAGATTTTAGCCAGATTGACTTCCGATAGCAGTTATACAACATGTGAGCTGCAGAGAGGCGGCAGCGCACGGGTCACGCTCCATATTTGCTGTACAGCATTCCTCATCCATTGGCTCGGGGAGCAGCCAGCCTCAAGGGTTTGCTTTACCCGTGTTTAAATCAGCGTGCCTCTCCCTGTATTATATACACAGCGCAAAGTTACTACTGCGGAGTGTTTGGCTACCAGCGCTATGTAAACAACGGGTCTTTGGGAAGGTCTGACCCCATTTCCTGCCGCCTGTCTGCGGGGGATGCGTGCCCGCAGCCGCACGGTCCCGGTACCCTTCAGGAGCATCCCGGCCGCACTCCCCGAACGTGCCGGTGCCGGTGCCGGAGGCGGCTGCGAGGCCCCGGAACCCTTCACCCGCCGCTCCCTCCGCCCACGGCGCGGGCAGGACCTTCCCGCAAGGACTTTCCCCGCACCCGCCGCGGGCACCGGCACCGGCATCGCCCCGCTCCCTCCCCAGCTCCCCCCACGCCGCCGGGCTGCGCATCCCCCGCGGTGCCCGGACCCACCACCCGCTGGGTGATTCCCCCGCACCCGAGCGACAAAGGATCCCCGAGCTGTGCGGCCGAGGAGGGGCGCGGAGGAGAGCGGGCGGTGCTCACCGAGAAGCGCTCCAGGTCGGTGGCGGCCATGGCCGGGGCTGGCGCGGCTCCGGCGGCGGGAGCGCTGCTGCCGCTGCCCGCCGCGAGTGGCTGCGGCTGAATGGATCCAATATGGCCCCTTCCTGGAACCTCCCTCCGCCCGCCGCAGGCGCCGCCCGCCCGCCGGACCGGGGAGCCGAGGGGACGGGCACGGCCGGGCCGGGGCGGGGCACGGCCGGGAAGGGACAGTCTCTGTCGGCCGGCGGGGCTGGCCCGCCGCTCTCTGCCCGGCCGTGGAGAGCAGTGGGACCGGGGGGCAGCGGTCGGGCTCCCACGGGCTCCCACCTGACCGGGGTCAGGTGCCGGTCTGGGGCGAGCACATGGCACGGGTGGCCTGGCAGGAGAAGGGGCGGTGTGGCTGCGGAAGGGCCGGGAGCATCACCTCCGGGATCGCACACAGCCAGGACATGGCATTCCACGGGGCAGCGGTGCCCCCGCGCCCCGGTGCCTCTGTACGCGGCAGCCGCACCACGGTGGCAGCCACAGCGTGCGTTTGAGCCGGGACCTGAGCGCACGGCCATTAACGCTGCCCGCGTTTATGCTAATTTAAAGTATGCAACAGGGGGCTGTGGAGTCTTTCTCCGTCGTTCCTTCCCACCTAAGGCACTGAGCCAAGGGCACCGCCAGTCTCGGTAACGCAGACATTGGTATTTCACGAGCTGCTAGCACAGAGCGCTTCTGTTGCTTTCTGGTGCCCTCTGCTGCAGTGCAGCTTCCCAGGAGCAGCTCACCAGAGCCGTGTGTGCTCCCGGCGCTGCTGGGGCGCTAGACCAGACCTGCACCGCTCATCTCTCTGTTGCCCTGGCTTCGTCTGAGACTTTCCCCTCTGTCCCTGCTATGTCCTCTCTCTTAGAGCAACCCACTCTTCAGATTTGAAGAGCTGAATTTGGTCAAACAGACCAAATACTTCTCTGTACAACGCTCTTTGCGATGAAGGGACTCATGAGGATCGTTTTGAACGCCCCAAGAAATTAATTCCTCCTACCACTTGTAGAATTCCACTATAAAAAGGGGGACTCGGGGAGGATTCTTTTGATATATTTCTCGGACGAAAATAAAGTGCAAACCCAGCAATATTATATCTGAGAAACGTTTATTGATAAAAAGGGTGATTTTACTAAAGGGGGATAGGAAAAGCAGCAGAGAGGGAAAATGAGAGGAGAAGGAAACAGAAGACAGGGACAGCGTTACCGCAAAGAACGCCGGTGTCGGTCAGCATCAGCTCAGCAGGTGGAAGGTGCGGGCTGCAAGCCGCCGTGTGTGTGCGGGCCGGGCGCGATTCCCGAGCAGCTGCAGGCTGCGTGTCCCTTCCATCGGCGGGGAACAGGCTGCCGTGGCCACTCCCGGAGCAGCTGCAGGCTCCCAGGGCAGGGCCGCGGTCGCGGCTGGGGCAGGCGGCGGCGGCAGGCCGGTCACTGCGGGCTAGCGCTGCGGCAGGGCTGCGGGAGCGCCGGGAACAGCGGCGGGCACGGCTGGCGACCAGCGGGCTGGGGCTGTGCACGGCGGCTGCGGCTCCGCTGGGTGCAGGCTGCGGCTGTGCCCGGGAAGCACCATGGGACGGCTGTGCCCCGCACGGTGAGGTGGCTGTGCCCCGCACGGTGAGGTGACTGTGCCCCGCACGGTGAAGCGGCTGTGCCCCGCACAGTGAGGTGGCTGTGCCCCGCACGGTGAGGCTACTGTGCCCTGCACGGTGGGGTGGCTGTGCCCGGGAGGCACGGCAGGGCGGCTGTGCCCCGCACGGCAGGGCGGCTGTGCCCCGCACGGTGGGGCGGCTGTGCCCCGCACGGTGAGGTGGCTGTGCCCCGCACGGTGAGGCTGTTGTGCCCGGGAGGCACGGCAGGGCGGCTGTGCCCCGCACGGTGAAGTGGCTGTGCCCAGAACGGTGAGGTGGCTGTGCCCCGCACGGCAGGGCGGCTGTGCACCGCACGGTGGGGCGGCTGTGCCCCGCACGGTGGGGCGGCTGGCTGCGGCGGCACCCGCTCGGTCGGGAGGCAGAGGAGCACGAGGTCGTCCCGGTGCTGAGATGGTTCGCGGACACGGCGGAGGGCAGAGCAGGTACGGGCAGGGAAGCAGGATCACAGGGGAGAAAAGGCGGGATGGGGAAGAAAGGCCAAGATGACCCTCCAAGCGAGCCCCGATCCCTCCAAGAAACCCAAAGCACAGATGGCTCCTCTGTGTCGCACTGAGCTGCTTTGATGGGCTAAGGTTCCTCCCGCAGCTTGATTTCCCGTGCGTTCTTCGCGGCCTCCGGGCAAGTGAGGGCTCACTGACAGTCCGGGCCTGGAGGCTTTCCCTGGCCTGACCCAGGAGAAACTGCCGGGGACAGGGCTGCCAGCACATCTACAGCCCCTGTGAGAACAGAACATCTACAGCCCCTGTGAGAGCAGAACATCTGCAGCCCCTGTGAGAGCAGAACACATGCTGAGGCATACAGGAAAATCAGATCCGTCCCTCTCACCACTGCACACAGGAGTCAAGGAAAAGCAGTGTCTGCACAAAAGCAGAGTAGTTACTGTGCAAGTTTTGAGGGCCCTGTAGGAATCCCCCCACAGCTTTGGGGTCTCACAGAGCCCTCTCTCCTTTGTTCTCAGGCTGCACCTGCTCAGCTGAGCTGCTCAAAGCCCATCCTCAGGGCTGCTTCTCCTTCGGTGCTCACACCATCCCAGGGCAGCCACTGAGTCGCTGGGTTACAGCAGGTGTCTGTATTTTACATCTCCACATCTTTGATTCTTCCCAAGCTTCCTTGTGTTCCACCTGCACAGTCCTGCAGGAGTCCTGGGAAACACTGTTCATTCCAGAAGGGCACTGTGATTATGCTGGAGAAATAATTCACGATATAAACTTAGATGTAGGTAATTGAAGGGGGAGGGCAAGGGTTAGAGGCATCAGAGGTTAGGAAGAAGATTGTGTTCTCCCTTTAAGCAATTTCAAGACATTTTCTGAGATGGTGTATGATATGCTTTTTGAAATACGATAGATCTAGTGCAGGTCAAAGGAGCTTTCTTTCTCTTTCCTGAGCAGACTGCCTACAACCAAATTAATTCTGCTAATCCATGTATTAGTTATGGATAAAGACAGGTTTTAAAAAATGTACTTCTCTAACAAGGTCATTGCTGAACACCATCTGTTAATTTATGTTCACCAAAAATTACCAAAACCACCCCCAACCTTTTTGCTGTCGCAGCCACAGCTCTTAATGCTGCCAGGGACAGCAAAGCTGTCCTGCTGGTCCCTGGCACCTGGAGCCACGCCTGAGCAGTGTTAGAGGCTTGCTGAACCTTTTACTCATTTACCCCTTGTGAGTGAAATGTTCCTGCAGACCAGACATTCATTTTATCACCTTGTTTCTTTGGCTGACTCCCAAAGGTTCTCCAGTTCTCCCTGGCTCCCTCAGCAAAAATGTGGAAGCTAAAATCTGGTATTTCTGGTGTACAGATGCAGTTAATACAGAAGCAGAGTTAACTTTCCAGGCTGCTTTCATATATCACAAAGAAGCAAAAACAAACAGATAAAGACTGAAAGTTTTTGTTTGTTTGTTTGGTTTTTTTATTTACAATCAGCTTTGTGAGTCCTTCTTTAAGAAAACGTAAAACTCTTGCTTCTGAAAGTTTTTGTTTGTTTGGGTTTTTTATTTACAATCAGCTTTGTGAGTCCTTCTTTAAGAAAACGTAAAACTCTTGCTTAACAAGCCTGAATGCTGTAATGCCAGGTACTTTTGCAGAAGCAATTGTCTTTGATTCAGTAAGAGTTCTATTCTGTTACAATAAAGTGCATAATGTAACAAGACAAGGCTCACAAAAGCTGATTCCTCTCAGCAGAATTAATCTACAGACACCAGAGGTTTATGTCCAAAAAGCAGACAGAGAGTCCTGTACCTTTGTTCGAATAAAGGGAGAGACCATGGGGCATTTTTCCTGGGGTCTCTCAAAACTTTCAGAGGACCCAGCCTCCTTTTTATCCTGATTTCCCAGCCACATTTCCCTCTTTCTTTCCCCATTGGCTGCGGTACTTGAGAGGTACAGCCTTCCCAAAATGCCTGATACCCCCTCCTAATGTATACCCCTGTTTTTCCTCGTGTCTCCATTCTTTTTCTCTAAATCCAGAGGTTGAGCACAATCTCAAGTGATAACAGTCTGTGTCAATTAGTGGAATTCCTATGGAATTGATGGTTCCCCCATCACTTCCTTCACCTCTCTGTATCTGGCCTTATGAACCATCAGGCCCACAGTTTGTTTGTAAAGACACTTCCTTCTCGTTCCTTTCATTCCCAAACAGGTGCTGGTTTCTGTGAGCTGCAGGTCAGCTGCAAAGATTCACGGCACAAAGGAATTTGTGAGACCTTGCAGCAGATGAAGAGCCAGCACTGCTGCCTCCTGGCTCCGAGCTGTGCTGCTCAGACCTCCTGGAGCTGGAGTCCTCTGTCCCTTTGTCCTGCTGCCACCAGCGTGGGGCACATCTCTGTGACAGCAGAGCACTGTATAAAACCTCACAGTTACATTTAATCACCTTGTTATTTCAAAAAGCACAGTTTCTAATGCCAAATCAATAGAAACCCTGCTGTTTTCAAAAGGTTCAGTTGCACAAAAAATGCTTCAAGAGAACTGACTTGGATTTTGTGGCTCCTTTAATTGCTAATTGTTATGCAAATTATTCCTAATAGCTCCGTAATTAAATTTATATTATAGTGCTGGATGCTCCTGCAAGGACTTAAAATTTAATGGAATATTTGTACCTGCTAAAACCACAGTGAATGTAAGACAAGCTGTGGGCTTTTTACAGGTCAAGACCCGGGGCAGAGAGCACAAAGGACTGGAGAGGCACAAATGTGTCCCTGGAATCTCTGTCCTGGGGACAGCAGGGGAAATGCCCCTCTCTGCATGGGTGTGGCATTGCAGCAGCACAGTTCTGATGGCTGGGGAGATCAGCAGGAGGTGCTTTACTTCTTCACATTGTGAGCACAGGTATGGGCAATGAAAGTGGAGAGAAATAAATGCTATCACACAGCCCCTTTGGCTTCGTAGGCAAACACAGAGCAAGAGATCATCCCACCTGCAGAAACACGGCCAAGGCCTTTTGAGGATGGCTCCAACTTTTCAGGGCCAAATAAAATCCTTGGTTTTTAAATCCAGGTGGTGCAGATAAACAGATCTCCTTCAGGGTTTTCAACACAGGCCAGACAAAGCAGCTTTTGGATAACTGTACATTTTCCACTATGTGTCCTGGGGACTACTAGAAATCAAACAGTTTGTAGCTACTCTTTTAGCATCAACACCACCAAGCACTTTATTACACTTTCATT